GATTCTGTGTCTCCTGCTCTCTCTGCCCCTCCCCCACTCACACTGTCTGTCTCTCTCTCTTCCCAAAATAAATAAACATTAAAAATATTAAAAAAATAAAATAAAATAAAATTGATGAAATACCTATCATACATACATGCTTACATGTGCATAAAATGTCTTTTCTGGGGGCACCTGGGTGGCTCAGTTGGTTGAGTGTCTGACTTTGGCTCAGGTCATGATCTTGCAGTTAGTGAGTTAAAGCCGCATGTTGAGCTCTGTGCTGACAGCTCAGAAGCTGGAGCCTGCTTCAGAATCTGTGCCTCCCTCTCTCTCTGGCCCTCTGCTGCTCACTCTCTGCCTCTCTCTCTCTCTCTCTCAAGAATAAATAGACATTAAAAAGAATTTTAAAAAGTCTTTTGTGAACAACTATTAAAAATAGTAAGAACTATGAATTTGAGGTATGTATATGTGTGGGAAAAGGACTTCTTGTTTCACATTGTTTCATACTGCTTGATTTTTAAAATCAAGTTTATTGGTTACTATTAATATAAAACTTTATAAGACAAAAATCTAGATGTACTTATGTTTTGACCTAGACACTCAGGAATCTATACAGTATAACTAATTATACATATGTCCACAGATATGTCTAAGAATATTCATTATGATATTATTTGCAACAACAGAATATCATGCAAATATTAAAAATAATGTACAATGACAACGAAAATTGTCTAATATATATTAAAAAAGAAAGATTAAAAGATATAAATGATAAAGCAAATATAGGATAGCATGTATTCTATAATTCTACACAGATACAATATGTGTAGAAAAAACAAAACAAAATTTTGTATACATACATAAAAAATGTATAACAAGGGATTCAAATTTACACACTAACTATTATCAGTGGATTTCTATAAGGAAGGGAATGGAATAAAGAATATATGTTATGAAGGAGATTTTCACTTTTACCCTTGACATGTCTGTATTATTATTACTTTTTTAATGTTGTCATGTATTGCAGGTAAAATTTAAATACAACAGAAAAATTCAGAATCCTTTCAGTAGACTTTACACTGGTAATCTATAGTTAATATGCAGAGATTTCTCTTGATTATCTCTTACAATAAGTTGATTGACTACACAAACTAAAATCTTTTTGTATACTGTTAAAAAGAAATGATCAAATTCCACATGAGTAAAATCATTGAACAACAACAAAAAAAGAGACAAAGCAAGAAACAGACTTTTAAATATAAAGATCAACCAGATGTTTACCATAAAGGATGTGTGTGGGGATGGGTTAAATAGGTGACAGGGATTAAGGAGGGCATTTGTGATGAGCATGGGGTGTTGTATGGAAGTGTTGAATCACTACACTGTACACCTGAAACCAATATAACATTGTATGTAATCATACTGGAATTAAAATTAAAAATAAGAAATTTTTTTTAAAAATTAAAAAATAAAAAGGACAGCTTAAAAGGAAAAAAAACATTATTCAGTAAATTCATATCTCAGTGGGAATTTTCATTAATTCCATGCAAGTTTAGTAACACCATTCTTTTTCTAATACTTCCTAGCTTTGTAGTCTGACTGAATGATTAAACAATATTATAACACAAACAATTGACTAGGAGAAAACATCTGTAACATATATAATAGACAATGTATGCATCTCTCCTGGCTAAAAAGTACTTCCCCAAATGAGTAGGACCTATCACCTTTTTACATGGAATTAAGCAGTTATCAAATATTTGCTGAGTCCAATGATTCTAAAACACATCCTAAATTTGATTGGTGGAGAAACACTACCAAAGTTTTCACACTGACTAGGGGCACAGAGGGGCATGTAAAACTGTTTTAAGAGAACTACCTCTGATATGCAGTTAGGAATACTACAGCACTTTCATTAATTGCATAAGTTACTTTGTTTATATAAGTCTCTTCATATTACTTTATAATAATATTAGGATACAGATCAACAATTCTGTCACTAAAAAGGAAAAAATACGCCTTTGGTTTACTGAAATATACTCAGAGATTAAGATAGAGGGAAAACAAAGAAATCAGAATGTCTCCCCCTCTTTTTGGATTGGCTACAAACCCTACAAGTATCTCCTTACAATATAAGAGAAAACAGAAGGAATGAATTTCTAGAATATACCATGTCATTCTATAGTTTGTTTAATGAAGAATTAGGAATGAGCACAGTATTTTAAAAAAACCACATCTGCTCAGGCATATGCATGGAGTAGAATTACCTTTGGGCCAGGAAGACCTGGAAGACCAATGCCTGAAATACCAGGATCACCTTTTTCTCCTTTCTGTCCAGGTAATCCTGGGGAGCCAGGTTGTCCAGGAACTCCAGGAGGTCCAGGAGACCCTTTCACACCCTGAGGGCCTGTTGAACACATGTAACATGCATTTTCTTTACAAAATATTCTTTATTTATGGCATATCTATGATGCATATGACCAAGGGAAAAGATTTTTTAAAAAAGAACTCTGCAAATTCTGAGTTAAAAATAATCCTTTATAACTAGGATTATTTAAAAGCCTACTTTTCGGGGCGCCTGGGTGGCGCAGTCGGTTAAGCGTCCGACTTCAGCCAGGTCACGATCTCGCGGTCCGTGAGTTCGAGCCCCGCGTCAGGCTCTGGGCTGATGGCTCAGAGCCTGGAGCCTGTTTCCGATTCTATGTCTCCCTCTCTCTCTGCCTCTCCCCCGTTCATGCTCTGTCTCTCTCTGTCCCAAAAATAAATAAACGTTGAAAAAAAAATTTTTAAAAGCCTACTTTTCAAGGAAGTTTATGTGAAAAGGGTACAGCTAGAGAAAAGAGACATGTTTGTCGATTCTTACTCTTAATGTTTCTAAAACTCTGTCCATTAATTCCCACTTCAAATATTTGTGTGATGGAAAAGCTCTATCCACGGATTACCTTAGTTATTGCCTCAGTTTGATTTTATCCACAACCAGACTCTATTTTGATAACAAATTTTCCAAAGCCATCTTCCATTGATGGGATTAAATATTTGGGAGACTGCCATCACTCACCTGGAAAACCCATATCACCAATGCTTCCTTTAAGTCCAGGAGGTCCTGTAAGTCCTGGCTTCCCAGGGAGACCAGGGTTACCTTTGGGACCTAGAAAAGTAAAATTGGTTAAATTAAGATAAGTCAGCAATATTGAAGTTGCCTGGTTTCTTGGAGTGGGATGTAATTATAAGGCAAGCATGGGATTGGATGGATCAAATCTCAACACATGATTAAGTTCCACAGATCTAACTCAGCATAAAACAGCAAGAGATACCTAGGAAATCTCCTTGGGAACATATTACAATATAATCATGGTGATAGAGGTCTCCTAATACAAATTAGTTTTAAAAATGCAAAAATTTTACCAGGTCATCTGGTGTCTTGCCCTAAAACATTTCCAATTGGAAACAAAGTTCTATTTGTTGTATGTGTGTAACTACCCTTGCTGTATTTATCACAGATAAATGCAATATGAGTCTGCTTTTAAAAGATTCAGAAGCGGCTTTCCCATGTAAGTCTGATATTATGAAACCGGCAAATGGAAAGTGGTATCCTGTTATGACATATTCCCAGTTCATGAGGCCAGGGATAGATGAAGATTGACGGAGAAGTACTATACTGTCACCTCCAACAGTCCTGGCTGCTGTGTTTAGACATTCTTCCTAGAGCTTAGGTGCCTAAGCTGTGTGGTGTTACCTAGGTATTTTCTAAGGACCACAATGTTGCCTTAAACATTTTTTTTCTTTTTTTCTTCCACACTGACTTCCAACTCAGGGAAGAGAATGCAGAAGATGTGAAGGATAGAAAGGAAGAGAATTTCTCTTTCCAACTATATTAAGGCAACGTAGTAGACTCTAGAGCAGAATAACTGACCTGAAGGATGCTTATGAGGATGGAGACTAGCTGATCTTAATTCCTTAGGAACCTAACTAAATAAAGTGGTTTAAAAAGCAAGAGAGGGCTGGATAGAGGGAAGATGGGGGCATAGGAGGACGCTGGGCTCACCGCATCCTGCTGGTCACTCAGATTCCACCTACACCTGCCTAAATAACCCAGAAAACTGCCAGAGGATTAGCAGAACGGAGTCTCTGGAGCCAAGCGCAGACGAGAGGCCCACGGAAGACAGTAAGAAGGGCGGAGAGGCGGTGCGCACTCCACGGACTGGCGGGAGGGAGCCAGGGCGGAGGGGCGGCCTGCCTGCCAAGCAGAGCCCCCGAGTCTGGCTGGCAAAGGCGGAGGTGCCGGACTGAGTGTGTTCCGACAGCAAGCGGGACTTGACATCTGGAAGGTTATAAGCTAACAGCTCTGCTCGGAGAACGGGAGGGCTGGAGGACAACGGGAGGGAGAGTTGTTGAGCC